GCTGACCTTGCAGTTTGCAGCTCCCCGCCGCCAGGGCTCCTATAGGCATAATCAGAACTGTATAAATAAACATACTTTTATTGCCCCCTGGGGAAGCTCACCACATCACAGGTCCCTCGGTGTTGATGCTAATCCTGTAGAGCCATTCACGGGGAAGTTTGGGGTTATGTTCTCCTCTTTCTCATTTTCAGTGCCCCGTTTCTCCTCTCTGCTGATTGCTGTCATTTGTGGGCACAACACCTCCCCCAGAGCCCATGAACCTCTGTTCTTCGGAGGCAGCTCAGCTGCTTGAACAAACCCCAAACAATCATTCCATATTCATGAGTGGCATTTGGCCCTGCCTTCAACCTATAAAAGTTGTCTTTCATAGTGGACGTTCTGAGCGGACAGTTCCAAGCAGTGCTTTCAACTCATTCATTTAATGATGTTTACAGACCTTTTCCAAACTAATCAGATACTGCAGGTGACCCCATGGTGACATAAATGAATTTACAACCGGAGTGGCCAGTATTAACAGAACTTATCAGCCATTATCACCCTCTGTTGGCGGTGGTTGGAGAGAGCCTGAGCGCCTAACTAGGAAAGTTCAAAAGCTCAAGTCCCTTGCCTCTCGGAGGAATGTGGTGTGTGGGCTCCTGTGTGCATGCACATCTTGCACAAAGCTCATAAAGATGAGCATCTCATGTGCTAGGTATTCAGATCTGCGATTTCAGTTTTTTCCAACCCACTTTGCTGTTTCTTCTCATTACAATAGTATCCCCTTGTATTTCTTTAATAATTTACTAAGGCCAACACCACCAATCCACTCCCATTGTGTCAATTCCAACTCGTAGCCCGCCACTCTATATAGTAGGGCGGCTCCTTAGGCTTTCTAGGACTGGATCTTTACAGAGCAAACAGCCTCATCTTTCTCCTCAGGAGTGGTGAGTGGGGTTGAACTCCTTGCATTTAGGATCCCAGTGCGTAACCCACTGGGCCACACACCTATAGTCTAAACTCAGCTCAACTGCTGTCAAGTTGATTTTGACTCATCGCCACCTTGTAACATTAAATAAACAAAAAGGTAGACTTTAGGAGGGACTGGCTGATGGGGGGCGGGGAATGACATTTTATTTACTGAACACAAATTAACATACACTTAAGTTTTATATTGTAGCAAAGGAAAAAAGGGGTGTGCAGGGACATGGGGGAGAAATGGGGAAGGCTGCAGCATGCACAGAGAGCATTTCAGAAGATTCTCAGTAAAAGGCTGGGTGAATCTGAGTAACAGCTTTTACAAGCCAAGTTCACTTGGACCAGTGGGCTAAATGTGACCTTTTCTGCACTATCGTTTTCTTTTGAAAGTCTAATTCTTCTCTAATCACATCTCTTAATTACCCTTTAATCCTTCTACTGTCAAAGCTTCTTCTGGAGTGGATTATCTGCTTTTAGAAAAGAATATTATTTTCTGGGTAGCTAGATCTCTAGTCTGAACATTGTTCAATTGGATCTGGATTAAACCCCCGAATTCTTCACATTCATGCCGCCCCCACCCCCCCAACACACACACACACACACACACACACACACACACACACACACACACCAATTCTGTGTCTGGCTCTTCTGAGCGAGTTTCTACTTTGAGTTCTTAGAGTGTGGAAGCTGCCAGCAGGCGAATTTTTCCCAGTCCATCGGATGATCTAGTCCCTAAATGATGGTTTTGTGAAACACAAATTAAGCTGCACATAGGAGCAAGGGGAGGTGGAGCGCTGATTGCCTTATGAACTTTTCCCATTGTATCATGTGGGTTTGGAGAATCTACAACAGAATTGGACGAAACTTTAATGAGATGTAAAATCAACCCAGAGCAACATTATTAAATGTGGTTCTGAACCCTGTACCCCCTTCTCCTGTTCCTTGAGGTGCAGTTTTACTGTTTCCTCCAATTCTAGGTCTGAATCTTTTCCGGCCTTTCCCCATGCCGTCCGAACCGACTTGTTCTGTACTCTGCCCCCATCATATTGGATTGAGTCCCTCACTGACCCCCTTAGTTAGCGAGGACCTGGAAGTGTGACTTTCTGTTCGGAGGTCTGTATTTCAGTGGGAGTCATTGTGTCATGTGTGGCATGGCAGAGCAGGCACCCCTAAGAGAAGTAATTTAAGGGAAGGGAAACCTTCATCACCCCTCAGATAACTCCTCATGAGCAGCTCCCTGGCCGGCTCATTTACAGACGGCCAGTGTGCAGCAGCACCATTGACTGACTGCTTTTGGGAAGACAAGGGTCTTTCCAACCATGGGGGAACCACAATGGAAAGTGAAAATGATACCTCTCAAATACTTGTTCTCTGACTCTCTCTTTCTGTCTCTCTATCAATCTTTCAACCTCAAACCAAAACTATACGTTTGATAGGACATTGGGAGAAGAAAGGAGGCACTGGGCTCCCTGGGAATGTCCCAGGTAGCACAGAGATGGGGAGAAGTGAAACGAGGAGGTTTGAGCGTCAGTGCCGCCCACAGCCTTGCCTCTTTTCCATCTCAGCTTGTATTTCTCTCCACATCTTTATGGAGCTCGACTCACCATTAGCTCCTAACAGCCTCTGACCTTCTTCTAAATTTCCTTTCTGCTCTAGGGGTTAGCCCTGAACTTCCTGACCTCAGGCAAAATGCCTTTAATTTCTGTGATTCCCAACCACCTTCTCTAAAATGGGAGCCCTACCAATTCTCTTCCTTATTTTTTGAAAACCTTGAGGCAGGGGTGCAAACTAAAATGATTTCATCTGAAATTCGTGCAGATGAGAGAACACAGGTTAAAACGTGAAGCATCTAATCCAGGCAGGGAAAAGGGCTGCTCAAAGGTAGCCTTGCAGTCACTGTTCTTTGTCCTGGCCTACACATTTCCATGTAAGAGTTCTGAGCTTAGTGGCCTGTGTGTGTTAGTGTTGTTACAGACACACAGAACCTCTGCAGGGGCTGGAGGGGTTTGTGCAGCCTATTATGCCTCTCAGATGTAACTGTTATTTGAACCTTAAATTATTTTTATTTTCATACCTAGTTAGTAATCTTTTGATTACCTGATTACACAGGGTGAAGAGAGAAAACCCTGCTTCTAGATAAATATATTTCAAACGTTTTCAGTGCTTAGTGCATAGAGAGGTCCTCTATCTGTACTTGTCTTCTGAAAATTGAGAGAAAGCCTTTTGGGAAAACATTTTTCACATCTGAGGCTCGAGTTCCCTCGTTGAAAAGTGATAAAGCCTGTGGTCCAGTAGAGTGCTAACCACCAGGTTGGTGGATCAAACTCACCAGCTGTGCCATGGGAAAAAGAGGTGACTGTCTGCTCCAATAAAGATCTGTGTCCTCAGAATCCCTTGGGAGTGCTTCTACCTTGCCTGATAAGGTCGTCCTCTTTAGGAAAACTAAGAGTTGTTTATTTGTCCTCAATATCGATTGTGAAAAAGTTCTTAGAGAACACCTGAAAATGTATCAATTAAGATATATGTTTAAAATGTTGCCATGAGTCAGTTCTGACTCATTATGTCACAAAGTATGCTTGTTCTATGGTATGTCCTTGGTTGTGACTTGGAAGCAAATTGCCATTTCTTCTGTGACATCCTTTTCTTCTGTGACACCCCTGGATGGGTTCAAACCACCAACCATAACTATTGGTGCCCAGGGACTGTAAAGTTAGTGTACACCCACTACCATGCCGTCAAAGAACTCGCTGCCATCGAGTCCGTTATGATGGCAACTCCGTGATTCTACAGGACGGAGTAGAACTTCCGCTTTTGGATTTCTGAGGCTGTAGCTCTTTACGGGAATAGAAAGCTTCATCTTTCTCCCACGAGTGCCTAGTGGTTTTGAACTGTTGACCTTACAGGTAGCAGCCAGTGGTGTCACCTACTTTGCCACTAGTACTACTTATGGAGTCCAGGAGAGGACAGAGCTTCACTGTTTTCCCACAGAGCGTCGGGTGGGTCAGAAGCGCCGCCCGCAGGCTTCACGGTCCAGTGTCTGACCTGCAGTGGGATTTGCCGTGTATGAATGTGAGGGAATCTGAGTCTCAGACATAGGAAGTTGTGCACCTTTCCCAATATCTTTGATTTTAAAAAGAAGAAAAAGCAATTTTCTCTCCGAACGGCTTTCCCCCAATTTTTAGAAGGCATCTACATAGCAAGGTTTTTAATGACGGTCTGGTCACTATGAGCAGGTGTGGGTTTAGTGACATGTCTCTAAGTTAGACAGTCACTTCATTTTTCAGGAGGAGTACACTCCATTCTGTTGTGACCTCTTGTCCTTCCTTGCCCCAACTTCTGTGCATTCAAGAATTTAAACACTTCTGTCATACAAGCCCTCCAAATTAATGGTGAATCCCTGGGTAATTGTCTGGCTCCTTGATTGTCCATTCCTTGAACAGGTGTAAGTTTGATGGTATTGTTGTTACCAGTGAATTAATGCAAGAGGTATTCATAAATGTATTTATGAACAGTTCCCAAGATGATTTACTGTAAATGACCTATAAAAAACGACTTGTTTTAAATACACCATTAGTATGTTAAACATGTATGTGTGCCATGCGCGTACATACCGTATATGCATGCATGCCCTTGTAGAATGGTCCAGAGCCACGGAGCACGATGTGCAGAACCAGATGGGTTCTCCAGGAATGTACGGTTTACCTTTTGCTCCTTTCATAGCAGTCGCCTTGAGTGTGACTTTGTGCACAACCACAGACATCGTGAGAGTAGAAAACCTTTTTTTTAGGGCTTACATTTCATATATTTGCCCCAAGATTTGTCAGGTGGGTACATGATTCTTCAAAGTATCAAACTAATAAGATTCAAGTGGGAGCCTTTAACCATTCTTTTTTTTAAGTTTAATTTTAAGTTTAGAATCTCATTTCTTGCCCCTTAATTAAGAACAATTTTGCACTTTAAAGTTTGCAGATATTTGACAAGTGTGTGTGTTCTGTAAATCTGAGCATTAATAAGGGTTTCTTAATTTTTTAAATCTTTTTTAGGTATGGAAAAATAGTTTCAACGAAGGCAATTCTGGATAAGACCACAAACAAATGCAAAGGTAGGTGATACTGGCCAGCGATTTGCTAAGTCACAACTTTTTTTTAAAAGACAATTGAACCTGATCTTTGGTTTCAGAATGAGACATCCACTTTACTCAAAACCAAATCTTCCCCGTCATCCAGTTTGCGCCTTGCTCAATGTCAGCATGTAGGTTACGTTGGTCTCAGTTGAGTTTTGGCTGGAAATTCAGCAGCAGTTAACTGGTTTGCCAGAATTCCAGACTTGACGCCAGTGGGTTCGCACGCAAAGTACTGGTTGGCATGTCGCCTTGGCCTTTCAAAGGAGAGGAGCTAGAAGAATAGCTCTCCTTCCCTGAGCCCGAGGAGATGGGTGCTGCCGCTTCCCGAAGACCAGTGGCCTCGTCCGAAGAACTGAAAAGATTACGTATTGTGCAAATTGGCTCTATTAATTAGAATAGAGTAGTTTTAAGCAGTACTTAATTACATGTTTCAATACTCCCAATTGTTCTCTGAGGAATGCCTGTTGATAATAAGGGCAGTGGGGAAGAGAGAACCCATTTTCACCAGCCACATTGTAGCAGGCAGGGGAGGTCAGAAGTCCCTTTGAAATCTGCTGCCGCATTAATTTGATGCACTGACCTTGAGTTTTCCGTGTCATTGGGATGAGCTCATCCCGCTCCGTGAAGTGGGAGAGGAGGCGTCCACAGGGCCGCGCCGACGCTGTGTAGTTCTGACTTTTAATGATCCAGCATCTTAACAATAGCCACGTGATTTCGAGGAAAAGGGAAGGATGAAGACAGCTGACTCTGAGTCTAGCTACCGACCCTGTGAATTGAAATAAGGTTGACAGGAACAGGCAGAGAAGCCAAATCTCCTCATTAATTAGCCCACCGTTTGGGGGATTTGTTTTTAAGCAGTGGCAATGGTGTGACTTAGCACACTGAAAAAAGGCAGAGAACATAAGTGAATGCCCTGGTAGGGCCTCTCCTTAGAAGCCAGCCATTTCCTTTAATCTGGAATTGAAGTGGCCCATTGTATTTCTTCAAAGTGCCCAAATGTAAAGGCGTGATTGTGGCAAATATCTAAGCCGGTGTTTAATCAACATGGCACAGAGAGGCGGTTTAGGCTGGGGATGGTGAATAGAGCCATGCTTTATGTGGAGTGGTGCTTCAGTATTTTAAATACATTAAGAGTCAAGCTGTGGGCTCAAATGCAGGCCATGAGTTGCCAAAAATAGTCACCTTAATGAATTTATACATGGTCTGGGAGTACGGGACACCAGAAAATCTTTAGGATCTGTAAAGAAAAATGAACTCTTGTCGGCATAAAATAAGACATGATCTCAAACATCAGTTTTAAATCAGGAGCGAGATCATGGTCGACAAAGGGTCCCAGTCTTAGCTTGCCCTTCCTCCTGTTCCCCGACAACCTCCACCCACCAAATGAAATCTTTTGCACAGCAGTGCAGTAGGTTAAAAGCAGTGTTAGGTGAGGGGGAGGACCCTGACGTCTCCTGGTTGAATTCTGCATCCCCTTGAATGGACAGCCACGACTGTGCACTCCTGGCCCACGAGTACCCAGTCCTCAGCAGCCGCAATGCCACGGAGTGTCCCAGATGTCCACATAGTGCCATCCTACCAACCCCGCGGCACATGGCAGGGGCGGGGTGGGGAGTGGGCTTCAAAAAGTTTGTGAGGAGATTCCATCGTTTTTCCACTGACTTTCTGAAACCTCTTGTATTAAACAGAGTTACCCAGGTGGGAAACAGTTGGGCCAGGGCCAGAGATAGAATAAGGGCAGGAACCGTCCTGAGCTGCTTTCAGATAGGTTTCTCAGAGGCCTTCCCTCAACGATGAGTCTCCTACGACTGTGTCGGAGTGAGGTGGGGTATGGGGACAGGTAGAAACTCTTCAGGCTCTGGACCTCACATAGCTAACTAACCCTGTCGGCAGATAACTGGTGGGTGATGGAGTCTGGAAGTGAGGACGGGAGGACTCAGATAAGGAAGCATCATTGTAGTATGAGAGAAGAAGTAACACTGAGCTTAGTGAGGACACCCCCTCCCCCACGCCGGGATCACACACAGGTGGTCTCTGATTGCCCACTGGCATAGAGGCTGGTGGTTCAGACCTATCCAGCAGTGCCGTCGAAGAAAGGCCTGGCGTTCTGCACCTTTCCTGGGAAACAGCAGGGCCACGCCGTGAGTCAGAATTGACAGCTGCTAGGGAGTGAGGAAGTTGGAACACAAGGAGAACCGCGGGGGCTGACTAGGAAGACGTTTGAAGAAAATTCAAAACTGTGCAGCAAAAGCACTGAAGAATTGTTTCCATCACGGCAATGCACAGGCTGCCCTCCAGGAATTCCATCGGGAAGCCTTATTATGCCCACTCCATAGCCCTGGCCTTGTCCCTCCTTATTGTCCCCAAACTCAACGAGCATTGAAAGGGAACACCATCGGAGACCCTCACGGATGACAAAGCTACTGCTTTTACACCATGTAAAATCAAGGACAGGGAACCTATTCTCTGCCGGGGGCCATTGCACATATTTATAACATCATTATCAACTTAAAAATTAACCTCTGCTACGTCTGGTCAGCCAGTTAATTAACTCACCCCTACTTTGATGGCTGGAATCGGTTCTCTCGTTGGTGAGGCGTGTGATGTTAGCTGGTATTCATGATTTACAGGCCTTGTACGACCCGCAGCCAGATGTTCCCCAGGCCTGGTGCGAACTGCACAGCATAGAGTTCTTCGGGGAAGGGTGAGAGACATGGGAACATGGCTGTCAGAAGTGTGTGGACCTGGATGGATGTTACCTTGAGAAACAGTAGCTTCCAGTTTGTCCTGTTTTTGTTTAGTACAGATTTTATTGGTTTTGTAGCAGTTCCCTTTTGATGTCCTTTCATATGACCATTTATGACAAGGAAGCTCACGAGGGATTGACTCTGAAGTGTGTGCATGCATGTGCGTGCGTGCTCACCCACCCACACACACACACACACACACACACAATGGATGACAGTAAATCAGATCAAAGGGAAAATAAAGTTAGGAGTGGGAAATTTCAGGCACTACAAAAATACCTTTCCTAAGGTTCTACCTGGAGTCCCCAAGTGCTGTGAGCACTTACCTGCTTGGTTGCTAATAAAAAGGTAGAAAGTTCTCCGGTATCAGCATCAAGGACCCGGAGCCAAAAATTATATCAATGTGAATGAGGGGGAGTGCAGAGTGGAGACCCAAAACCCATCTGTAGACACTTGGGGATCCCCTTACAGAAGGGTCACAAGGAAGAGACAAGCCAGTCAGGGTGCATTATAGCACTGATGAAACATACAACTTTCCTCTAGTTCTTTAATGCTTTCTCCCCCCCACCAACCACTATCATGACCCCAATTCTACCTTACAAATCTGGCTAGACCAGAGTATGTACACGGGTACAGATAAGAGCTGGAAACACAGGGAATCCAGGACAGATAAGCCCTCAGGACCAATAATGAGAGTAGTGATACCAGGAGGGGCGGGGAGGGGGGGGAGGAAGGGGAAACTGATCACAATGACCTACATCTAACCACCTCCCGGGGGAACAGACAACAGAAAAGTGGATGAAGGGAGACATCGGTCAGTGTAAGACATGAAAAAATAATAATAATTTATAAATTATCAAGGGTCCATGAGAGAGGGAGGGGGAGGGAAAAAAATGAGGACCTGATACCAAGGGCTCAAGTAGAAAGCAAATGTTTAGAAAATGATAATGGCAACATATGTACAAATGTGCTTTACACGATGGATGTATGGCTTGTGGTAAGAGTTGTCAGAGCCCCCAATGATTTTTTTAAAAAGGGGAGAGTAGGAAGTTCAAGGGCACCCTACTTACTGCACCTTATTGATGGTCGAAAAAGCTGTGAGGGAAACATACCTCCATCCGTAGGCGTTTGGCTGGATTAATTATGAATCATTATTTTAGCCAAGTGTTCCTTTGTGTCCCGCTGAAATTATGTTGGGCACTCAAATACGTATGAGCATGAATGAGTGTGCGTGTGGCTGCATGTGTTCCCAAAGAGTGTGGCATGCTAGCTTTCAGAAGTTTCCAAATAACACTGACTTTTTGCCTGATGCTTGAGCACCATCCTGCTTTCCCTGGGACCAGCCCTCTTCTCTGCCCTCCTCAACCTGCCTATTGCTTCCCTGGTTCAATCCCATTAAACCTCATTTCAATCCAGTGTCAGCGGTGGCATGCATGTCTCCTGAAGTCTCTCTTTGGTGATCTGTGCTCTGCTCCCTCTCCTTATCTACTTGGTTCTCTTAGGCAATATTTTTGGTGCTGTCACCACCACACTCTGTGTCGGTGGGGCTCCTTCGGAGCTCCGTTTTGGGCATTTTGGTATGTGTCTTTGTCTACCCGGTGCCACCACATCCACACTGTGTGCCTGGCTGTTTCTTCCTGTTCCCTATGAGCCAGTAAGGGGCTAGCCCCTCTTCTCTGCTGCCCCGACCAGGGCCTGCCTTTTGTAAAATAGTCTTGCTGCTTTAAAATTAATTTTATCATTGGTTTGAGTTCTGAGGAAAAAAGCGTGTTAACATTTTGCCTGGTACTCCAATATTTTTAAAGTGTGCTGAATATGATTTAATCTTATCTCAGTACCTTGAAGGGTTATCACAATGAAATATCACGGATTGTTCTGTCGTAATCCGTGGTACCCATGAGCCTACTGAGGTTCGTGAAGTGGTTTCTGCTTCGACTCCATAAATCCTGTTCTCTGTGTAATGTGTGTGTGTGTGGGGGGGCGGCGGGGGTAACTTGTTATTAGTTGCCATTCAACTGTAAGTATAGCACTCCTAGGGTAGCCCCCCGCCCCCACCTCATTTTCCCCCCTCATTTCTTGATTTCAATTCATCGCGGCCGGGGAAACATGACTCACTTGTTCAAAGTTTGTAAATCACTTAGAATCAGGGTCTTTCTTAGGAAGTTGTTTAGTTTTTAATATTTTAGGGGATGAATTGATGTGTTCCATGTCTGTAGGCTTATTCCTCCCCATTTTGTTTTGAAGAATGATTATCCACCTGTCTTGGGTGGACAGATAGGAAATTTTCAATCAACCATTAACGCTGAGATCATTATATACTTTGAATTTTTAATCATTGTACTTATTTAATTTACTTGAAAAGTAGTCTACAAAACTAATGTAATATTTTGTTTCATCAGTAAGAAAGCTCTTCCATTCAAAGTGCTAGTTATCTGAACTTGATTGAATCTTTTTTTTTTATTTTGCCTTTATTGATAACCTAGACGTAAATTTTCAGTAATTACAGGACACTTAAAGGAGATCTGGTGACATAGTGGGTTATGTGTTGAGCTGCTAACCAGAAGGTCAGCAGTTCAAAACCATCAGCTGCTCTGCCAGAGAAAGCTGATGCTTCCTACTTCCATAAAGAGTTAGTCTCAGAACCTCCAGGGGCAGTTCTACCCTGCCCTATGGGGTCACTTGGAATCAGAATGGACTAGATAGCAGCGAGTTCTATTGTTTGACAGGACACCTTGGACGACCTCTTGAATCAGAAGAAGCTGTTGCTGTGGCTGTTTTCTCTCTCCCCTCCCATCATCATTGTGGAGGGTGGTTTCTGGAAGCGTATGGAGACAGCGGGTAAAGGCTTGAGGAAGCCCCTGCCCTGTGGCTGTTAGAGCCTGGACCTCTTGGGACTGTAGGGTTTTCATTCTGTGACAGCAGTCATACAATCTAGCTTACAAAAAAACTAAGTGTGTTTTGCATTTCAGGTTACGGCTTTGTCGACTTCGATAGCCCTGCAGCTGCCCAGAAAGCTGTGTCTGCCCTGAAGGCCAGTGGGGTTCAAGCTCAGATGGCAAAGGTGAGTCTTGAGCTGTGCAGCATTGCTTTTACAGCCTGGCCTGTCTGCTGTCCAGGTACCTGAGGTGAGCTACCCTCCTCCCCAGCTGGCCAAAGTTACTTTAGGATTCTGGTCCCATCCCTTGACCCGACTGGTCCCCCAGCAGCTACTGTGCCGGCAGAGTGGCCCTCATCCTTAAATGTGTAAGGACAATTTGGGGATGCGGGAGGGTACTCATAGAAACTCCGGTAGCTCCACACGTGACTCAAGGAATAGCACCAGATGGCCCCCGGCAGTCAGGTGTGTTTCCTTCTTTAACTCCCATCCTGTTTTTTAAAAAATAATCTTTCTTAACTTCCAGGGCTCAAGGATTAATAGTCAATGTAGACACACTTCAAAATCTCATTGTGTGCAGATGTCACAATTTGAAAGGACATTCTATGCTAATACTCATAGTTCATAAAGCAGGTACAAGCTATCGATGCTGTTTCTTCCATACAGTTGGCTGGCATTCTTAGACATTGATCCTTTATGAGATACCACTCATGTAACCTTTAGTAGTTCTAGAGTGACTGTATTCAGCCTTGTTTCTGATGAGCTTTGAACAGGTAGGTGAAGAACACTGATAGAGAATCCTTCTGGATTCGACTGTTTCTGAAATTTTCAGGGTTATAAAATGAGACTGTGCAATTCATGGTTAACAGTCCATTTTAGCACCAGGAACATGGATATTAATTGATGTGAGAGGTACACTTACCCTCGAGTGTTTGTGTGTTGTGGTCGTTTTCCTGAAGGTTGTCACCTGTACTCACTAACAGAATGCAAATGGAGCGGACCCATCAGTCGTTGCCTTTCTCTTGTGTTAGAATGTCACAGTCAACAATGAGCTACTTTAAGGTGCCTAATCCCTCTTTCAAGATTAGTAGATGCCTGAGAGCAATGGCATGCCGTTGGTCTCATGTGATCTAAATCACTGGTTCAGATGAGACTGTCATTTTAACCACTGGAGGAACATCACATCATAGGCTCCAAACCGCTGCTTTCTGATCGGCGTGATCTTGTGATGGAGAAGAATTAAGATTCTGAGAAGAGCGGGGCATGCATCCCTGAAATATTTATTTTCGGTGACAGACATTATCATTCCCCAGTAAATAGTCTACTCATCATTGGTCCAGGAGTCACTGTTGACTAAATTCATATTTATGTCCCGTCCTGGATTACCCTGGAACAATATCTTCAGACCTAGTGTCTGCAGTGCAGGCATAATGACGTTCCCGTCATTGTCGGATTGTTTCTCCCTGCGCGTGGCCCTTCACTTCCATTGCCGGGGAAGATACTGTCCCCCTGAAAATCAAGCAATCTGATATTTGAATACTCGTCAAAACGTCTGTACTTTTATAGTCTTGACTTCTTGAAAGGCAGAGGGAAGTATTCCTGTGCTGGCCCTGGCTCCTTTTGAACAGATCCTGATCCAACCCTTACAGGCTTGCCGCATTCCATCAGAAAGACGGTTTGTAGAAGTTAAAAGACTAAATGATAGAAGGCAGGAGGCTGAAGGGCAGGTGGCTTATAGTTATCAAGATAGAAATTCACGGGGGGGGGGCACAGGGATGTAAATAAAGGTTTCAGGAATGAATGGAAAGGGGACCATCTTTCTGAAGCCGCTCTTGACTTTCAGTGTCTCTACAGCTTTGGATTGTGCTGGACTTGTTTTAGGTGTTCTTAAGCCCCAAAGAAGTTAAAATAAGCAGAAACTTTAAATTCTGAGCAACATAATTTTAAGCTTATGGTTTACAGCATATGTTCCCAAACTTACTTGACCTACCAGCCCCATTTTCAGAAAATAAATTGCTCAGCAGCCGCCTGGCCATTAGAAACGTTTGCACTCTCGCCTACGAGGAAACCACTCGGCACCATGGAATCAGTGCTGACTCGGCAACCCCGTAGGACAGTGCAGAACTGCCCCGTGGTGTCTGAGACCGCCGTTCTTTATAGGCGGAGGAAGCCTCGCCATTTTCCTGCAGAGTGGCTCGTGATGGGCAAACAGCCAGCCCACGTAACCTACGGTACCACCTGGGCTCCTGGACTGTAATTCAGGACAAAGCGTAGGGATCTGCTTTTGCGGCTCACCTGGATCGTTTCGATGCCACCCCCGCCCCGCTGCAGTGTCCCCCACTTCGGGAAACGCTAGCCTCAAGTATGTAGCCAATTCCCTGTGGAATTGTTGGATTTCTGAGGCTTAGAGATATGCATTGTGAATATACAGTAACCATCTTGGCTTGATGATGTGATAGAATGTGAAATTCTTCACTATAAACAATGTTATTAGCATAGGAGCAGAGCTTTCAAGGCACAACCAGAAACCAGCTCTGTTCTCCCCATTCTAACTCGTTCCCCGAAACCCAGACTTCGTCCTGCTCGGAGAACATCCAGGGCAAGTGCCATACATTTTCTGGCCACTCGCAGGTAAGAGAAAAGCTTCAGCTATTTCTTTCATCACAGGTCTGTCTAGTTCACGTTTTGGTTTTTGCTTTTCATGTTAGCATACCTTTTCAAATGTCATGGAATACACATACCTCTGAATACCTTACATTTACATCATCCAAATGCAATACAGTATTTTAAATGTGAGGTTGTATGGCAAGAATGACAAGTTACCTGCCAAATCCCATCTGCTGTTGTTAGGTGCCATTGGGTTAGTTCCGACCCAAAGCACCTGACCCTGTGCCCAACTACACGACAAAACACTGCCCCGTCTGCACCATCCTCACAGTGGTTCCTCTACTCAAGCCCATTGTGGTAGCGACTATGTCAGCCCATCGTTCAGAGGGCCTTCCTCTTTCACCGCCCCTCTGCTTTGCCGAACATGTTGCCCTTCTCCAGGAACTGGTCTCTCCTGACAACCTATCCAAAGCGCATGCGAAGCCTTGCCATCCTTGCCTCGAAGGAGCCCTCTGGCCATCCTCCTTCCAAGACAGATTTGTTTGTCCTTTTAGCAGTCCATAATACTTGGAATATTCCTTGCCGGCACCACTGTGCAAACACAGTGTGTAGAGTGGCAGAATCCTGGGTAAAGCTTTGAAAACACTGGTCTAGGGTCAGGTCAGCAAACGTGACCTGCATCTCTGGAGTTGATGGTGTCAAGAGATGTCACAGACCAGAACCACCTGGTAAGCACCAGAGCGATCGATTATCTGGCTGGTGGGAAGCAATGTTTCGATAGCCTGCATTCCAGCATTACCATTGATTGTGTGTGTGTGTGTGTCTGTACACACACATGATTTGTGCATGTGTAGTTTTCATTTTGTGAATTTAATTGTGGTTGCGAGTCCGACATAGTAGATAGTGCTTTTCCTACTTAAAATGAAGCTGGGAATAGGCCCCTGGCTCACCTTTTCATGACAGATACTCTGGTTTTGCAGGAACCGATCACTGGTGTTACATGCGTGATGCCTGTAATTTAAACATCCAATCTGTTTAGTTGACAGAGTGTTGAGTCTCACGTGAACTGAACGCTTTCTCCCTTCCTCAGCTCAGGTCTGCTCCCATTAGCAAGCCCACAGAGGCTTGTTGAAGCCCCTCTTGCTTGACTGGACGTGGTAGGGAATCATTCACTCTAAACTGTGATACTCAGAGCAGGTCATCGTGTCTTTGCAAATAAAGTGCTTGCTCTCAGCCTTTCTCCAGTCTCATAGACGGGTGGTGGCTGTGGTCAGTTAAACTGCAGTCCAGGGAAGCTCCCTTAGGTGACCTCGCATCTCATTTTGGGACATGGGGGTGAGCTGATATACTCTTTGGTGCCCTGTGCTGAAACAGAGCTTAAAGGCGAAGAGTTTTCAGAACCTGTGCCAGAAGCAGAGGCCTTATTTACAGTGGCACCAGGAGTGCTGACCCGGCCATCATTTACAGTTGTAGTAAGCAATGTAGTGTGTTGAGTAGAAGCTCTTTTGAAGGGGTCTTTGGAATGGGCTTAGCCAATGCCAGACTGAGTGTAGATAGATGGGCACCGTGTGACTGCCCTGCTAGCAGTGCTTCACCGAGCACCAGCTTTCCCATGGGTTGATAATGAGCACTGTTCAAAAACCTCCGAAGGAGGCCTGATCCTGTCAATTGGAGAGGAAAAAGGATCTCTTTCTACATCATGTACAGAAAAAAAGGAACAGTGCGCAGACTCCAAGAGCTGGCAGCATGCCGCCACGCCTGTGCGTTACGAATTTCTTCAGGGTCCCACAGCATGACTTCATTTCATCAGGGTACTCATATGGACAGAGCTCAGTGAAATACTGTTTTAGCACGCTCCTTCATTCTCACTGTCTGCCCTCACATGAAAGAAAGTTTTCCCCATGCTCTTCCTTCTCCTAAGAGGCCCAATGCTGTTATTTATGTTGACCGAGAAACTATGACAAGAGAAGGAGCCCCAGAATAAGTGGTCTCAAAGATGTAAAGCTGCCCTCATCATTCCTGGTGATGTCTGTTAAGCAAGGTGACATCTGGAGCCTTCAGCACCTCTTCAGGCCTGCTGGGGGTCATCAGATCATCCATCTGATGTTATTTGGCTGGTGGTAGTCTTGGCACTTTCCCACCTCCCAGTGAAGAGGCAAGCTCTTGAGTGGGCATTCAGTCCCCCTTCCACACACAAAGGTCCACCACGCTCCAAGCAGTGTGCAGCCGTGTGCCTACAAGCTGCTAGAGCTCTGCTGGTTACTGAGTCTGTTCAGTACAAGAGAAAACAGATGTCTGCTTGTCCTGCCAAGTCCCTTTCTTGCATTTTAGGAACTGGTCCAAATGCTCAGGGAGGTTTTGTCCATTTCTTTCAGATGATGACTGAGTGCTTTGCTCACTCAGGATCTCCGAGCCCCCCACTTTCCCACTAAAGTGAACATTGGTAGCTGTTTATCCCTCTCAAGCCAATGTGGGCTCTAGTTTTCTGCTTGTTAGAGAAGCCATTGAACAGCTTCTGGGCCCAGGGACAGAAAGAGACCCATGGGCCCCTTAGCATGGTCTGTTTGGACCCCCGTCAT